TTTTTACCGCTGAAATCTTGCTTGGAAGTAGGAGTTGAAGACAGGAATAAGGATTTATGGAAAGGGGAAAACATATGGGTCTGTGATACCAATTAAGAAACTAGATATTGAAGGGGAACTAATAAGCTTGTGCTTGCATTCCAGAATGTCACTGAAATGAAAAAATTCAAGTTGTGTGTGATTATAATTTTCGCAACTTGCACCCAAACCCGCGGTGGGCGTGACTCGCGCGGCTTGGTGGGGTCGACTTTTAGTAACCGCCACAGAATAGAGAAGAATGGAGAAGTTGCCAGTTGCATCAATGGCGAGAAGAAACGCGATGATGAAACAACAGATGATAAATATTGAAATGAAATAATGACTTATTTCTCTTATTTTGAATGGAAACAGATGTTACTTAACTGAAAGCATGCAGTTCAAGATATTTTGAACTAGGTGGGACACTCGACTGCACTCCACTAACACATCCTTCGTACAGTTTGGCTCTTCAGCTGTGCAGCTGACAACATTATCGTAGTCTGTTTCTCAGCGCCGATGGCAACACTGATTTTGTTTGAGCGATTTTTGTGATTTGGAAAACCTCGTATTTTTTCCAATATTTTTTTTTGTACCTAAAAAAAATACAAAATTTTTTTTACAGGTTGGACGTATCGAAAAGGATTACCCATGCGTGGATGCTCATCGTGCACCGTGCCTTGAAGTAGCATGGAGTCCGTTCAATGATAATGTGATTGCGAGTTGTTCCGAGGATACAACTTGCAAGGTAATTGGCATCTCATGATTTTTACAGTTCATTAATTTTCCCACTGCACTGTTGGAAGTATTTTAATATATTTTTTTTCTTCATTAAACCCGGAATTTGGTCGTTGATCAGGATTTTCTTTCTTTTTTTTTTCACTTATTTCATTGTTTCATCGCCATCAGTTTGCTTGTAAGCAACTCTTGAAAGAGAGTTTCATTTTTTGGCAGCAGTTGGTTGCCGTTAGTACTTGCTGCTATTTTAGCTATTTCCCAATGCCTCAGCTTCTCAAAGAAAATGAATTCAGGAGTCGGGCGAG